CTCTCTCTTGGCTTCCAGTACTGTTAGCTATTCTTGGCATTCCTCGGCTTGTAGATGCATCATTTCAATTCCTACTCTTATCACACAGTGTTCTTTCTATGTGTCTGTCTCTCTTCTCATACATTAAGGACACCAATTATATTAGATTAAGGCCCACCTTAATAATCTGATATTAACTTGCTTACAGTCACTAAAACCCTATTTGAAAATATGGTTACACTGCCAGGTACTAAGGGTTAGGACTCTGACATATTTTTTTAAATTTTATTTTATTAGTTTCATGTATATAGTACATTGGTTTAGACATTTATATAGTTTATAAAATGATCCCCCTAATTGTTCTTTCTCTCCTCTGGCTCTCTACTTGCCATTACATTAATGCTAACTGCATTCCCTATGCCATGTCCCCATCGCTGTGAACATAGCTTTTTGAAGCACACAGTTCAATTCATAACAGGGGATTAGGCATTAAAGGCCATGCCTCCAAGGTTCTCTACCAATATACTGTTATGATCAAGCCTTTTCAGGTTGCAGGGGAGTTAGATGATGTAGCTAGTACTACTGGAAAATTAGTTCTTATGGTAAAAATTGTATGACAGATAAAACCCTGATGGGAGATGAACCTGGCACTTGGTATAATAAGCTACATACTATTCAAGGAGAATGTTTAAAACACTGTATTTTTCTTCACCTTTCAAAAAGTATGTTTCCTTTTCGGTGATTTTTTAAAAATCTATCTTGCATTGTATCCTGGTTGGTTTTAGCTTACTTACCTAATAGGGACTGAACTATGTCCCCATGCCCCCAAATTCATAAGTTGAAGTCCTAGCCCCAGTACCTCAAAATGTAATTATATTTGGAGACAGTGCTTTTAAAGAGGTAATTTAGGTAAAGTAATGTCATAACAGTGGACCCTAATCCAATATGACTTTTGTATTTATAAGAAGAGGAAATTAGGACACAGGCACACATACAGAAGACACACATAGGGAGAAGATGACCACCTACAAGCCAAGGAGGAGGCTCTCAAAAGAAACGAACAGAGCCAACAGCTTGTTCTCGAACTTCTATACTCCAGAACTGAGGAAATAAGATTCTGGTAAGTCACTTGGTCTGTAGTACTTGTCATGGCAGCTCTACCAAACCAACACATTTCCCTGCCCATGAAAAGAAAGACTCTTTGAGGTAGTCTGCCTCACTCCCTAAAAATAACCTGCACATAAAAAGTCTTAAATGTATAACTGTAAGTTGGAGGTCAGAGAGGGTATCTGGTGTTAACTTTAAGCCCAGAATTGTCCATAATTTAAATAAATTCAATACAGCTAATATCAGTGGCACTAATGATTGTCTTTTTTCAATTAGCTGTTTCTATACAGACTGCCTAAGTAAAAATCTCTTGTTTAGTTAATGCACATATTTCAAATTATAAAATTATTACTTTAAGTAAATCCAATATCTTTAAAAACAAAGCTATATGGCAATTTCTACATGCTTTATACTGTTCTAAGGGCTTAATACGTATTATATGGTTGCATACCAAAATAAATGTACTTAACAAAACTAAACTGTACATTTAAAAATAGTTAAGATAGTAAATTTCATGTTATGTATATTTTAGCACCATTTTTTAAAAACTAAAATTAGAAAAAATCCACATTATGAAAAAGTACAATTTAAATTATTACATGATTTATATTATACATTTATAAATTTCTACTAAAATAAGAAAATTTACTTCAGAAAATAAGACAACATGGTGATAAAAACTTAAGTTTAAATTATTTTACAGCTGTTCAGAATATAATGAAACTGCCATTTATAAACTTTTCATATTTTTCCTACGATTCCTAGTTTCAGAAGTAAAAATGCAAATAGCATAAAAATAAAACCAACTTACTTAACTATTAGGTTACCCCAAATCCATTGCTGAATAAAGGGAGAGCTAAACTATTGCTTATTGTACTTCAATGTCAACAATAAAATAAGTTGTGTGATAGTTATTACAAGTATTCTCAAATATTCCAGCTTTCTCTCTTCCTGGATATACGACTGAAATTAAGGATGGCCACGTGACATGCTCTGGCCCATGACATGAGAGTGGAAGAGATATGTATCACTTCCAGGCAGAAGCTTTAGGAGCCAATGATTGCTTCACCACATTCTCTTTCTTCCTCTACTATAGTGACTGGCAATATTGTAAAGACTGGCCGTTCCTCCCCCTGGATTCTGCAATAAAGATGATAATAAAAAGGAACAGTTCCAGCAAATTCACAAAGGTCATAAAGTGTAAGCAAAAACCAACTGTTGCTGTACTAAGACATTAAGATTTTGAAAGTATTATTACCATAGCATAACCCAGATCATCCTGACTGATACAGATATAAATGCTGAATGTAAAGCAGTTATATAAAGAAAAGAATGAATTCCTACAAATGAGATGGAAGGATGGGCAGGTAATGACAGGATTTTGTCCCTTTCTCTGCCTGAGTCAGTTGCTCCAACAGCCTTCCATCGAGGTTTAGATTACAGGGCATATGAAAAGTCCTGAATGACATAGAACTCAGACTGAGGGGCAGAATAAGTCTTGTTGCTGAGGGCATATTCCTAGAACTGGGGAAAGTCTCCATTCTACTTTCTCCTTGCCACCTCTAGACAGGTGCTAATGAAAGCTAGGCTCCTCTCTCTCTCCTTCCTACCATTTGAGGCGATCTGGACTTTAGTCTTCAAAGAATGTAACAAGGTTCATCTGTGAGGCACCAGGTCCATTCCTTGGCATTTTAAATCCAACGGCTGCCATAGAAGTTTGTAGCCATCCCACAGGATTTGATCCGAAGGAGATATTCAAGTGGTAGCCTCTGTGAGGCTGCATCCATCAAGACAAGCTATATTTTGTACTTGACACAAAGGCGCCTTCTGTTTGTCCACATATGTGCCTACAGATACCTTGTAGACTAGCTTATGGTTCCTCACCCACGTTTACCAGAATTTCTTGGAGACCATCCTTAGAGGTACTATAGAGGAGACTTACTCCATACCTGACCATCATCAATTCCTGGCTCTGGGACTCCCTGAGGTTTGATCCTCTCTCCATGAGGATTCACTATGACAACTTGCAGTGTATTTTTGTAAACTTGAACTACATACTGCCACATGCCTGTGTCCCAGTGAGGAGTATGAACACGCCACTAGCAAACAAGGTATCAGATGTATTCTCCTACTGGAACTTTACATCCTGGCAGAATGCCTGCAGTGCCTGGTGTTTTTAAGAGAACTTCTATAGCACTACAGTGATCAAATGACATCACTTTGATGTGCCAGAGTCCAGAGTTTCTTAACTTCTTAACTTTATCCACTAGATGCCCGGAGAACTGTTCATCCCTGACCTCCAATTGTGACAAAAAATATCCCCAGATGTTGTCAAATGTCCTCCAGTGGGTAAAATCAAGCCATGTTGACAACTACTCACTCTGGTTCGATGTATACTTCCATTTCCAGCAGGTGGTGTGAGGCTGACAAAAGGACGTGTACTGGTACTAAGATGCATGCCACTCTTCCCACCCACTCTGCTGCATCTACTGTCTCTTACTTCCAATCTCGTGGAGGGCTCCCTGAGATCCCACTGAAAGCAGACTGAGGAACTCAACCCAACAGGCTGAGAGGCTGGCCCTATTGCAGCAAGTAGAAAAACAACTGAACCTTGACTTTTTCCTGGCTCTTCCTCCCCATCTCACCTATTCCTCCTTCCAGTAACTCTTCCTTCACCTCTGCCCCTAGAAGTAGAACCATGATTCAACTAAAGACATTTAGATGACTTATATTCTCAGATGAGATGTAGCCCAGGAGTAAACTTTGCTGCTGACCTGCTGCCAGCTCTGGTCTTTGTGCCCCATACAATATACACATGCCTTGGTGTTGGCTAGAGAAGTCTGAATTGCTATATTCCCAGCAGCCTCATTAGCTTGCATACTTTGGGAGGACAACTGTGGGCAGAAGCCTAGACTCACAAAAAGACTGACCTGTTCATATAACCTGAACAAACTGACACCTGCATGGCCTGATCCTTGGACAGGGATGGGCAGTTTGATGCCCGTCTTCCCACAGACATGGCCCGAAGACACTAACTCCACTGCATTTAGGTACTATCTAGACCCAGATTTCCTTGATACATATATACATATACACTAGACACATACACATATACATACATATTTATATATACATAAACCTAAAAATATGTCTCACAAGCAATGGGGGAACAGGGGGATGACTATATTCCTTACTCATATTTCATTTAAAAATAAGTTCTATATAAAGTGAAAATTAAGCATAAAAAATAGAAAATTTAAGAGCACTATAAGAAAATATGGGAGAATGTTTAATAAAATTTGGCTGAAAAAGGCCTTTCCAATCAAAGCACAAACTCACAGGTTGTATAAGAGACTTCTGTAATCAAGCTAGTCTACAAATAACTTTTAGATATATTCATATAAGTGAACAAAAACGTATGTAAAATAATATTACAAAACAGCAAAATGATAGGATATAGAAAACAATATAAATGTCCATTAATGAAGACTGACTGAATAAATTATGGCACTTCCATCAACAGAATATCATGTAGTTATGAAAATGACTAAAGCAGATTTAAATGTGCCAGTATGAAACAATCTATCAGATAAAGTTACAGAAAGACTATATAATGCCTCCCCTGCAAAAAAAAGAAAAGAGCTATACAGAGATTTTTGCTTATATACACAGTCTGCAAGAATTCCTAAAAGAACACAAACAAAATTTATGCAGTTGTCTCTGGAATAGAAGATGTGTCTGGAAAGGAAGTTTACTTGTTTTCACTGGATATCCTTTTGAAGTTTTGAATTATTGTTTTCGACTGTGCATAAAGTCCATCTCAAAAAAATAAGATCGAAGAATAAAATTCAAAGAAAATGTTTTAAAATATAATAGCAAATATCCTATATATAGGATAAGTAAGAGATTCTTACCTTTCTCTGCAAAATTTCAGAGAATGTAGTATGGCAGGTCTCTTTTGACGTAAATTCCATAAATGTAAGGTATCATCAGCCAAGGCACTCACAAGAGCTCCCTTAAAAATAAAGTGTAATATATTTTATAGAGAACACATTTTACAAACATTAAAGCTAATAAGGATCTTCCAAAAAATCTCCTTCCCAAACTTTGAAACTTTCAGCCAATAGATTTAGTTCTGAGAAACATTTGCCTCACTCAAATTCTACAGCAGATGTAAAACAATGTATTGTGCGCATAAGCATGTGTACAAATGTTTTAAATTCTTTAATAATTTAAAGTGTAACTTAATATCTTATAAACTAAAATTATTCTAGGGTCCAGTTGAATATTATGGTTGATTACTAGCTATGTAAAATTAGAGATCAGACTATAAGTTACTTGGTCACTACTTCCTTGACTAAAATAGCAAAATATGATATGAAGTAACCTTCCCATTTTATTTAGCTTAAGATAAATCCTTATGAATGTACTATGCTTAAATCAAAATTCTACTACTAGAATGACATGGAAAATAAAGTAGCATTCAACACACTGTAACTTCAATGTCCAAATAGTTGAAAATTCTGACTTAGAAAGTTAAAACATCTGATACTATGATACTATTAAGTATGGAGAAGATAATCTCTAGCAGTATGTGAGAATCCCACAAGGGGCTCAGTTTCATCCCAGACCTGACAAATCAGAATTTTCAGAGCAAGAACTTATGTAGGTGTATTTTTAAAAATTTCCAGAAATGATTCTGATACATGAACAGAATTAAAAATCTCTAGACTAAGGCTGATTTATTAAGACAAATGAATGTTTTTCCTCAAAAGAGTAAGGTACTTTTCTACACAGAGAATAAGACAAAAGATGCTACATGAAGAATTTATATTAATTTCAAAAAAGATTCGCAATTCTAATCGTTAATATTATGAAAAATCTTAAAATAGCCCTCTTAAATTAAGAGAGCTTCTCATTCATCCAAGAAAATTAAAATAGCTCTGAAGACAAAATTTACATTAAATGATCTCTCCAAGTCCTTTCCACCTTCGAAATTCTATGAGGGCTATTCTGTGTAACTACTACTGCTACGACATGGCTACTGGAAAGCAGAAATACTCTCCCTTTCACTAGAAAGTATATTCTTATCGATATCACTTTGAAGCTGAGAAATTCAAAGGATTCAGGTTATCAAAGATTTGTACTCTTCATTCTTATTTCCACTGTAGTTTCAGACCATGTCAGCTTTCTCAAGACATTTGCCCCATCTTAAAATCTCAGGGAAGAGAAGATATAGAGCCAAAATGGTAGTAACAGCTGATCCCTGATGGGGGAGCCTTTACCTATATATAGTTTTCCCAAACTGAAAGCAAATAGTTACTCCCAAGTGTCAGATTTCCATAGCTGTCCCCATAAGCATTTTTTAAAACAGCAATGTCATTTTTAAGTACTTAAATGTAACACTCAAGCATGTAAAATAAAACAAAATTTTAAAGAACTTTGTGATGAATCCTACTGACAAGAAAAAAAATCCTGTAATATGAGTAACGACAGCATAAACTACTTAACATTTCTAAAACTTAAGTGTATAAGTAATCAATTTGCAATATGTTATTTACATTGGCTCACGTACTGTTTTAAAAAATAACCTTGATGCAGGTATAAAGATGGAGAATAGGTTAGTGGTTGCCTCAGATTAGAGACTGAGAGGAGGGAAGGAAATGTAATTATAAAGAGGCAGCCTGAGGACATTCCTTTACAGTGGTGGAACTGATCTGTATCTTTACAGTGGTGGTCATTACATGAATCTATGTATATGGTAAAACTGCACGAAACCACACACACACACACACACACACACACAATCGAGTGCATGTAGAAATGGCTGGTGAAATCTAAATAAGGTCTTTGTTAACAGTACTGGATTGGTGTCAATCTCCTGATTTGATACTGTACTATTGTTATATAAAATGTTACTATGGGGGAAACTGGGAGAAGGGTACACAGGACCTCTTTATTTTGAAACTCACTGCTAGTCTATTTCATAATAAAAAAAAATTTAAACAGTAAAAATAATCTTGAGTCCTCTATATGTGTTTGACAACTTTCTATAATTCAATTTTTTTTTTTTTTTAGCATTTTACAATTTTAGGCTATTATACAGTCCTACACAGAACACTGGTTTTTGAAAAATGCTTCCTCTAAACCTGAAAAACTTATACAACTGCATATTATTTGGATCACAGTTTTGCTGAATTTTTCTATTATCATCCTTTGTTCTTTACACCCACAATGCCTCTCTTAAATCTGATATGAATAAAATATTCATCAAAAGCCAGAGGTACTGAGTAATTTTTTTTCTCTCACACACATTGAAGAACTTACTCCATCGAACCCAAGGACTTAGGAGAAAAAGAACATCCGCAAACTCTCCTTACATCTAAGGACAGCCAAGCCTTTTCTAGAGTAATTTCTCTTTCTTCCTTCAATGACCAGCTTTTCCTGCCTGTCGCTACTTGTGGTGAACATCTATTCTCAGAGCTGCTCATACTTTTTCAAAACCTACAAACACATTGTTTACTTTGCTGATAAAATGATGTTTCTCGAGCTTCTTCCAAATTTTATATTCTACCAAAAAGAAAGGCATCATCAATTACCTCAACAAATAAATGACACAACAAGAACTTTGGACGATAACCAGTTTCTAACGGATTTTGTTTTCCTGGTTGTATTTCAAAACAACTCATCAGAGAAGTACATTTTGTAATTGATAACACACATCATCTTTAAACAATATTTTAATATAGATTTTTATGTTATGTAATTTTCATTATCCCTAAAATAAAACTTAAATGATACACACTGTACCGAAAAGATTTACCTTATCTTATTCTATTTGTAATACTGTTTTGAGAAACAGCTTACATTATTTATGTAACTGTCCATGATGATGCCTGAAAATGAATTACTATTATCTCTGACCTAAAAGAAATGTTTCTGTTAAAATATTTAAATAAGAATGCATTCAAGAAATCTGAAAGATGAGATATGGCCTTATTTCATACATAACTATGAGAGATTAAAGCAAGTCACTAACCTCATTAATCAGGAACTGGAGCTGGATTACTGCAGCTCCACTGTCATGTTGGCAATAACATTCCACTCCTGGACGACCAAAGCTGTCATCAATTTCATTAAGGAGTTTGTGGTGTGTGTGGGCTTTTTATAGAAATTATATAATAGACTAACAAATATTCCAATGACCTGATATTCAATACACACTACTTACTGGGAATCGAGACTTAATGAGGTATATTATACACTAATCAGCTAGTTTCTTTTGGAAATCAGAATGCTCAAAGGTCCAAAAGAAATAAGAAAACTGTTCCTTTTAGAAAAAAATAAAGTATTAAAAACAGCAATATACAGAACCAAAATAATATATATTTAATACAATTTACTCTGGCCAAGTTTTTTTATTTCACTTAAAAAGAAGAGAAAAGCATCCAATTTTGCCCAAGTCAGCAAACAAATCTGAAAAGTAGACAAATGCCATTTTGGAATATTGCTCTTAGAGACAATAATCTTTTACTGGCATTTTTCATTCTTTTATGTCATTTTTAAATAGTTTAGGCTAAAAATATAATGAAAAGGAATTGCTGAGTCACATAATCTATCCATTTTTAGTTTTTTTGAGGAATCATCATACTGGTTTCCATAGGGACTGCACCAGTTTGCAGTCCCACCAACAGTGCACAGGGGTTCCCTTTTCTCCACATGCTCATTTGCGACAACATGCTTGTTGACTTTTGGATAACAGCCATTCTGATTGGTGTGAGGTAGTATCTCACTGTGATTCTGATATGCATTTCCCTGAAGATTAATGATGTTGAGCACCTTTTCACATGTCTGTTGGCCACGTCTTCCTTGGAGAAATGTCTTTTCGTGTCTTCTGCCCATTTTTTGATCAGGTTTTTTTTTGTTGTTATTGAGTTGAATGAGTTTCTTATATATTTTAGATCTCAACCCCTTATAGGATATATCATTTGCAAATATATACTCCCAACCAGTGGGTTGCCTTTTTGTTTTGTTGAAGGTTTCCTTCACTGGCTAGAAGCTTTTTAGTTTGATGTAGTAGCATGAGTTCATTTTTTCTTTTGTTTCCCTTGCTAGAGGGGCATGTCCAAAAAGATATTACTTAGACTGATATCAGATACTATATTTCCTATGTTATCTTCTAAGAGTTTTATGGTTAAGTCTTTAATGCATCGAGTTTTTTCTGTATATGGTATAAGAGAGTGGTTCAGTTCTCCCAATACCACTTGCAGAAGAGACTTGTTACTCCAGTTTATTTATCTTAAGAAAATGAAAACACTAATTCAGAGATAAATGCACCCCTACATTCATTGCAGAATTATTTACGATAGCCAAGATATCAAAGAAGCCTAGGTGTCAATCAATAAACAGATAAAAAAAGATGTGGTGTCAATCAATAAACAGATAAAAAAAAGATGTGGTATATACCTATATAACGGAATATTATGCAGCAGTAAAAAAGAATAAAATCTTGCCATTTGCGACAACATGGATAGATCTAGAGAATATTATGCTAAGTGAATAAGTCAGGCAGAGAAAGACAAATACCTTATCATTTCACTTACATGTGGAATCTAAAAACAAAACCAAACCAGACTTATAGAAACAGAGACCAAGGTGGTAGTTATCCATATTTTACACATAATAACTCTGATGCTCAAAGAAGTGATTTTTCTCAAGGTTACTACTGATTTGTTTCCCTTTTCCTTTGGATAGGGTAGTACTGTGCTGTAGCTAGCCCTGAAAGGTTCTAAAACTAAAAAATCCCTATGAATTGGGAAAAATATTCATAATAAATCATTACTTCATAATAACAAAAAGTTTAAAATTAAATTTTAAAGAATGAGCATTGCTTATATATAATCAAGAGATATTAGTGTAGAAAGAACACAAATTTCAGAGCAGGCAGTTCTCAATCCTGGGAGTATATCGGAATGCCAGTTCTACTAAACCCAAATTGCCTGAGAAGTCTGGGTAGGTATTTTTTTGTTTTGTGCTATAGAAACATCTGAGGCGCAGTGAGAAATAAGACCTCTACTTCCACATCAGTTCATGTACCAGCTCTGCTAGTCCTTGCTGGGACCTCTCAACTTTCTTCTTTATAAAATGCAGATACCTATCTAGTTTAGCTTGCAGAACTGTGGTGAGAATTAAAACTATATAGAGTATATTCACCAAATGGTGGCAGTGGCCATTATCCTTATTTAGCACAATGCATTTATTGCTTTAACAAAAACTAAAATTACCTTATAATGGATATATCATGGTATAAGAAAGAAAAAAATATCAACTCCAAATATACTAAATCACAAAACAATGTCATAGATGCAAATATTCATATCTTTCATACCTATAGTGATTATTGCTTCTTGCATATACAGTTCTTCCTAATATGGTCATTTCTGAGTTAGTTAATAGTTTCATTAGAAAATGACCAAACACTAAAATAAAGATCTGCTTGCTAAGTTATTCCCGTTTATTATGGCTATGTTCACAATTAAATGAGAAAACAAAACACCTGAAATGAAGAAAACCCAAAGGAAAGATTACATATTGAATAATTCAGCTGTTTGTTAAATGGAGAGAAATACTTATTATTCTGATTTTTCTCTTTTATGTATGCATGAATCAATTATAAGGCAAAACCAAAATAATAAGGGTACACTGAGTATTTCTTGGTGTCAATATATCTTACCTTCTAATTCTGAAGTCCAATGCATTCTTTTAAAAATGATGCAATCTTCCTATCTTAAATACCTTTATTCTAATTATTTCTACTGCTTACCCTACCGAGAGCTACGATACCTACCTAATCCTACAAGTTATTTTTCTGGATTAAACTAATTAATTTATCTGACCCATGACACATGCCAGCTATCTCCTGCACAACTACACTTATGGTTTTATCCAGACAAGTATCATTATGGCTCCTGAAATGGAGCTGCAGAAGGCCAGGTTAAAACAGGCTGAGAGCAGAGTCTTTGAATGCAAGCCTCTGAATTTAGACATAATCCTCTAAATAAACAATAGGGAGAAAATAAATATATAAGAGAAAAAATAACAATGAAACTATCAAGTAAGAATAATCAGTAGGAGGTATGCAGGACAGATAAGCAGAAAGAAAGACCAGAGCCAATAAAACAATATATCATCAACTCCAAGTTCAAAATAAGCATTCATCCAAATGCCTAAATAGTTCTTTTATTTCTATTTTTTAATTATTTTGGCTGGAAAGGGATGGAGAAAGGAGGAATTAAGAGGCATATCATAGCAGTTAAGATTTATTAAACATGTAACATGTATCAAACACTATATATGTATTACTTCACAAGAGTATCTCTATTATAAGCCCTGTTTTTACAAATAAGAAAACTCAGATACAAGGTTAAATAACGTGCCCAAGAGCCATATAGCTAGTTAGTATGAAAATGAGGTTTGAAGACGTGGTTCCATAGTGTAGCGGTTAGCACATTCACTTTACACACAGAAGGTCCTGGGTTCGCGCCCCTGTGGAGCCACAGTCCATAGTCTACAGTAATGCCACCCTGAACAAGACCGATGTCTGATCTCGGAAGCTAAGCAGGGTCGGTCCTGGTTAGTACTTGGATGGGAGACCACCTAGGAAGACCAGGTGCTATAGGCGTAAATAATAATAATAATAAAAAAAAAATGAGGTTTGAACCCAGGCAGTCTAACTCCAAAACATATCTCACCAAGCCTTACTGCATACAAAAAAGAGCCAATTTTCACATGTAAATGTCATTTCCTAACATATTTTAAGTCATTTAAAACTGGAGAATAAACACAGAGGAAATATTTATAATCAATATTTTGCACCTGAATACATATCAGACTAGTCTAATAATATACAACTAGACCAAATATAACCTTAAGTAGCAAGCAAACATCATAAAACCAATTAAGTATAAACAATATGTCAATCAAAAATTTTCTTCTAGACCTATTTTTGATGTTATATATACCTATTAATTTTAATAATGAAGCTCTATGGCCCAGCAGAAGGTCCTGGGTTCTTCTGCTAGAGTTCTGTATTCTAATTCTAATTGAAATTTTGAGATGGCTTCTTTAAAAATATCTTAATGTGTAAAATGATCACCAAATAAACATTTCGGAGACTACAGCTATGTGAGAGGAACAGTTCTTAGCAAAGGTAGGTAAGATATTAAAATAAGTAAACAACACTATACTCAAAAAGCTCACAGAATCAGATACTATATTATATTAAAGGACAAAAACCACATGCTCAGTGGACTAAAAAAAGTCTTTGACAAAATCCAACATCCTTTCATGATAAAATACTCAATGAGAAGGGAACTTCTTTAACCTGATAAAAGGACATCTATGAAAAACCCATAGCGAACATCATGTGTAATGCTCAAAGACTGAACACTTCCCTGCTAAGCTCAGGAAAAAGATAGGATGTCAATGCTCTCCACTACTATTCAACATTATACAGAATGTTCTAGCCAGAGAAAACACACAAGAAAAGTACAAAGTGTTCAGATTGGAAAGGAAGAAGTTAAACTACTTCTATGCATAGATGACAGGCTCTTTTATACGGAAAATTCAAAGGGATCCACTTAAAATAAACTATTAGAACAAAAAAATGAGTTCAGTAAGGTTTGTACAACACAAGATGAATATACAAAAATCAATTGTACTTCTATCACAGGCAATAAACAATCTGAAAAGTGCAATTAAGAAAACAACTGAACTTATAATATCACAAAATAAAATACTTAGGCATAAATTTATCCAAAGAAATGGAGGACATGTACACTGAAAACTAAAAATCTGAAAGATCTAAGTAAATAGAAAGACATCCCATATTCATGAAACAAAAGACTTAATATTGTGAAGATGACAATATTTACCAAACTGATCTACAAAATTAATGCACTCCATCAGAATCCCAGTTGTTTGCAGAAATTGACAAGCTGATCCTGAAATTCATATAGAAATGCAAGAGAACCAGAATAGCCAAAATAATCTTGATAAAAAAGAACTAAGTTGGAACTCACACTTCCTCAATTTCAAAACTTACTACAATTAAATGACAAAA